ATATTTGTATCTATGGTTTTTTACTCAGCCCTAAGAGCAGGAAACAGCCCTTTTGTTTTACATCAAATATTTTAGGTTTCTGTAAAAGTCAGATGAATGTTAAAGACGGCAAACGTTGCAGTACATCGACCTGTTACCTTCGGCCAGCCTTAGAAAGACGGAACTTGCAAGTCAAGTTTACGATCTCGTGTAACAAAGGTAATGAGTTTTAATATGTTTTACTTTAAAAACGTCAATGACCATGCTCAATTCTTAGTTGTCTAATATCATAGTCGGAAAAATGAAAAGTTGGCGAATAATAAAGAAGAGATACAACTCATCATTGTTCTTAGTAAATATTGTGTATTAGAATTTCGGTACAATCGGTTGAATACTGGAGTTATCTCTTGCTACCTTTTCATAGGAAAACAATAGGTTTTTAAAGAAAACATACCAGTCGCATTGAAACGATCTCAGGTAGAAAATTAAGAAAAATTCATTGTTTTTGATACATTTTTCTCGACCATTTAAGCTATGTTTAAACAAGTTACCTTGTACTTACAAAACTTGCGATCTGCTAAATGTTTATAATTAATGCATAATAATTTTTTAACAGCAACGGCAGAGCATTACCCGGTTATACATACGTATACTTTATAATTTGACTTTGAATATTACTCTATATTTAATTTTATAAGTAATTCATAGCACTTGAATATATCGCCAAGAATCAATGACATAACGGAGTTCCCGTCAACTGCAACAAAAAGTTCTTGAATTTGTTTATTTTAAGGCGAAAATTTGTCTAATGTGAACATGACTACTTTACAATAAAAATGACTATGAATCTAATATTAAATTGAAAGGTTAAAGTGCAACCTTAAACTTAAGCATGAATTCACATTCAAATCTATGTTTCCATTAACAATAATTGAACTAAATTTAGTTTTAGACTCCATTATGTAACTTTCCTGCTTATAAATAAATGTTAAACACCAATCTATTATCTATAATATACAGGTTTTAATAAGGAATAACAAAGCTGTTGGTGTTGACTTTGCAAAAGATGGAAAGAGACGACGGGTATTTGCAAAACATGAAGTTATTCTTTCAGCTGGATTTATAGGCTCTGCTCAGATTTTAATGCTCTCAGGAGTCGGCCCTCGCAAACATCTTCAACAATTGAAGGTAACATAGACAACCATTTTCACGTTTTTACGAATAAGTCTAATTTTTATGATAATTTAACACGTTTGTTAGTTTTTTTGCTTTCACAAAAATTCTTAGTTGAAAACGATTAACTAAGTAAATATATGTTTTTCAATATCGTTGAAAGAGTTAGGTTCAAAGAAGAAAATTGAAATGAATGACACTCACCAGTTTTCCTTCAAATTGTGTTTGATTTAAACAAGTTTTAATCGAAGTAAACAGCTGAACAGCTTACTTATGTTCAGATAACATTCCACTTTAAAACTTTTCTTTGGTTATTTGTGTCGTCTGCGTGCTGTATCAATGATGCATACTCTATACCTTCATTGATTTGTAGTTCATTGGTTCTTTTATGACTCTGTTTTAAGCAAAACACGTGTAAATGTATACACTACTCCGAAATTCAATAAGTAGCCAACAGTGTTTAAGTAAAATATGCTTGTTCAAACAAAAAGTGAAAAGAATTGCAATGTTCCATAAATCCAATACAATAGCTAATTTGAAAATATTTACCCAAAAAACCGTGTTTCTACTTAATATAATACGTAGATATGGGAGCGTTTTCTGCTGAGGTAATGTCAAAATATAAGCGAAGAATTTGTTATTACAGTAGGTTAAATGTTCTGCTCAGAATATATCAAAGATGTGATATATCTTCTTTTATAGATACCATTAAAAGTTGATCTGCCCGTTGGACAGAATTTGTATGATCACTTGCTGTTTGCTGTTCAATATAATATCACTGCACCGTTAAATATTAACAATAAAAAGGCTTCAGAACCAGAAAGAATTCTTGATTATATTTTCAACAGAGAAGGCAAGTAACGCAACTTAACATTCAATGAATTTTTCGGTTCCAATTTTTCATTACGTTTGGTTTTGTAGTCATATGTGCCACGTAAAATTTACTCCAAGATAAGCTTAATATATGGTGTAAAGTATTATTAAAAATATCGTCATGCATTTTGTTTAATTCAAAGTATACAAGATGGTATATAAAGTTTTTAAAAAGGACGATATTTGGTACACGCGTTTTTCATTTACATAAGACCAATCGATAATGCTCGAGTAACAAACATTTCAAAAGACAAAATACAAATAAAAACCTCAAACTCATTTGCCATTCACCTTATAACGGTCTATGTAAAAACATTTTTTATCACATGACTACGCATAGTAAACACATGAAAAAGGAAAAGAATAGGAAATCAGCGAATTATAAACTCGTCTATATCATTTACTTCATTTGTATTTGTAGGAATTTCTTCAAGAAACGAAGTTGAAGGAGTAATTCTTCAAAATGTCAACCCGCTATGTACAAGAGGTCCACAAATTGAACTTCTGTTGACTAACCGTGCTTATGAAGAGGGTTTGGTTCTAAATCCATACCTGGCATTTAAAAAAGAAGTATATAAAAATAAGTTTCAATTTAGATTTGGTATCTTTCTAAACATTTTCTTCTTGAGCATTAAATTTGTACACATAGATTATTTTTTACCTCTATTTTATGAATACTGAAGAAAGTAATAATATAGTGACAGTTTAAAGTATCGAACCTCATAAGATTTGTCATAGGAGTTTTGCCATGGCGTAATCGATTACACTTCGACTTATACGTTTTGTGATCTTCTGCATCTTGTGTCCCTCGTTTCCTAGCTTATTGTAAGTCTGTTCATGGGATTTTACTTGATTGCGAATTGATATATTGTATGGTATGTAAATAGTTCGATAAAGAATCATTTAGTTATACTGCTTTTCAAAATCATTTAGTTCCATACTAAATCAAAATCACATCTGGTGTAGTAGTTCAGGTTAGCTGACATGCAAACCACAGGTAAACGTACCAGCAGAATGTAATTTTAAACGATCCTACATTATAGACAAATCTGATTCTTCTAATTTTAAGTGTTTATGGTAAATGTGAAATAGGTCAATAAGTAATTCTTAACGATGCATGTCAATAAGGACAGTGTTATTACTATGCTGATGTTATCTGAAATAGAAAACAGAGCAAATCATGTTTAACATATACTATATATGTAAAGGAGAACAACAATGTAACTATGGATATGAATAAGTCAATTAAGGGATTAATTGCGTTTTTGAGATACACGGATATAATAAATTGATACATTGCTTATTTATCTTAATAATAATTACTTAAACATTGATGAAGGAACATATCATTTCAAGACTCTTATTCGATTATATAAATATGATGTTTTGGTGACTAGTTAATTAGGAGCGACTAATAAATTTGTAGCGACTAATAAATTAGGGACGACTTATTAATTAGTGGCATCTAAACATAACTTCGTATTGCGCATACGATAAATGAATAGTACACTATATTTGCATTTTGGTCCTTCCACGGACCTATTGATTTTGTTTTGATTATATTATTTTTTCTAATCCGCCACTTTTATTTCTTGCAAGAACCTTTTGTTTCGTAAGATGACTATTCGACATTTGGTGTATGTTATAAAACAGATTATTCAATTTTGAAACTGACACCGTTTAACCAAACATTTTTCTTGTACGAGTTATTTCCCCGAACTTGTTTTACTTATTATCTCTACTTCGCAACCGTAAAGGAAAGCGACAAAATTGCTTATTACATAATCAGAGTATCAAAAATAATTTTGACCGAAACAGTCCGGAGACTTCACATGACAGTTATTCCCTCTTATAAGTTATATGTATTTGTAACCGAAAAAAACATAAGTGATAGAGACTTAAGGTTTTTTAATTTGAGCTCCTTGGTCAACCACAAAAAATGATGGTTAGGTCAAAGGTCATCTTTCAAATTTTGATTTTAGCTTTGTCTTATTATCACTTGTCCTCAGATACTGTATAAATATGAAAACAGCACGTTATCAATTGCATGCGTCCAAATCGCTTTTCTGGATAAGATAGCATATTTTTTTCTGGTTAAGATGTCGATAAAATATTTTTACTTAACTGTTAGTTGCGACATGTCGTAACATATATCTTTTGGTTAAACGTGAATGTTGACATTAAATGGGAGTTTTCTCACAGCATATGTTTAAAATAAGTTGTATGTGATTTAATGTATCAACCATATATAGTAGAGACCTTAACATGTACGCCAAGATCAAATAAATTTGACGTTCAAGAGTCTGATCTTTGTTTTAAATTCTTATTTATACACGACAAAGCTATAGGGTCTTTTGCACTAGGGTGGTAGACTATGTTAGATATACTGATATCAATTTGAAATGATCAGCAGGAATTAGCAATTTGTTGATATCATTCAAAAGGACCAAAACAATAATTTTTGGAGTCATCATGACGTTACCCATAAGATGATTCGGTGGAAAAAGTGGGGGAGGGGGGCAGTAAGAACTTATCAACTTAGAACAAGCCTATAGAAACCTAGTGTTTTGTAATCAGCGTAAATTAAGATATTATATGACACCGTAACTGACTTTGATTTTACCGGAAGTGGCTTATTATCTCCCTTGGTTATGTAAAATTGTTTTAAACATTGTATTTTCGGTCTCAATGTTATATAAGCTATCTTCTAACTCCAGACAAACTATTGCTTATCAAAATTTTCGTATCTTAAGTAAATTATTGTGAAAAGACCTTCATTTGTTCTCTGAACAATTATTCTTAATTGGTGATTGAATTTAGTTAAATATGATTTGTCTAAACATCAGTTCATCAAAAATATTTTATTGCGCTTTAAAGATTTAAGGCAGGAAGTTTTCTTATAACACAACACACATTACAGTAGTTTTTTTGACACACGATAAATATTTCATACCCATATTACATTTCAGATTGTAAAAGAACATTTAAAACGTGTTGATCCAAACAGTTTCATAGTGAGAATGTTCTTATTACAACCAAGAAGTAAAGGTTATTTGCGGCTATCGAGCAAATCACCGTTTAGTTCTCCTTTCATAGATCCACGATATCTTTCTCACCCAGAGGACATTGAAGACTTTGTTAGAGGTATAAATAATGATATAACAACTATGCTGTAACAACTTGATAGAACGGACAGTATTTTTCGAAATGAACTTGTCGAAAGTGACGAGTATTGCGATAATTGTCATTATCTCTCTTTTGTTTAATTCATTATTCCTTTTTTGAAAGCATTCCAGATTCATTTTAGTTTTTCACTTGTCAATAGTCAAAATGCGTTCGCTTATTTTTTAGTAAATTTTTTTAAAAATTCTGTAATAATGATTAGATTATAACAAAAACTGCTTTATTGGAGAAAAGATATTTAACAAAAACACTCAATAAACTTACTATCAATGGGAAATTTCATATAAAATAAATCTCTCGTTATGGTAATGAAATACGTTCAAACATAATTTCAGGCATTCGATTTATGCGTTTGTTAGAACAAACGGAATCATGGAAATCTATTGGGGCCACCTTGGTGAGGCAAGATGTACCTGGACATTGTAGTGAACAAATCTTTGATTCGGATAATTACTGGAGGTGTATTGGACGACATTTTCTAACGACGGCATCTCACTTTATAGGAACATGTAGAATGGGGTCAGCTAATGACCCTTCGGCTGTAGTAGATTCAAGATTAAGGTATTTATAATTTATCAGAGATTTATTTTCAAAACATATTGTTCTCTCATATCTAAATATATCTATGTCTGTTTTTTAAATATTACTATTCATAATTGATTGTTGGTAAAGAAACTGGTATGACAACGCCACTGTTTAGACTCTTTATAATTTAAAGATTAAAAATATATCCTTCAGATATTCAGAAGGTATTTGTCTGCCAAATTTTAGTACATCATACGCAAATATTATCAGCACCCGATTTGCGCATGCGTTAAATTTGACCACAATCGATATCAATAAATTTACTATAGATTGTTAAAGGAAATCTAAAATTTTGATTAGCTGTCAGTAAATATCACTAAATTTCTTTTTCATTGGCATGAATTTTGAAAGTTCAATTTTTAAGCTTTCTGCAGATCTAATTTGTATTTTGATAAGGATTGCAGAAGTTATGGCCTTTTTCAAATAAAAACAAAACAGCGTGCACGACCTATTACTTCAAACAATACGAAACCAAAAATGTGTGCACATGGGTTTTCTTTTATTAATTGACCTAAAATCTTTATTAGAAACAGCTTCATTCGCATGTATATTTATTCTCTTGTTTTAAATCTCTCCAACGATATAAATTTCATATTTTACATTTTTTTTTTGTACCACGGCATTTTTTTATTCAAAAATCGAGTTCCGATCATTTACTGAAGTTGACCAGAAATAATCTAAGTCATGCCAGGTAAATATTTATGGATAAATCATTAACACATGCCAATGTGATGACTTCTGTTATTCTCTGTAGTTTATGATTTTTTTCTTTGTGACGGTTTTATAGCGTCTTTCTTTTCAAGTTTACTTTATAAATTGTAAATTTCAATGCCCAAAAGTTTCAAATGAGTAAAAAAATATATTCTCCAAGATAAACCAATTGTCAAAGTCTTAAAGGAATAGGACAAGGGCAGCATATGTGCCAGTGTGGACCATATACAAAAATATTTGTATATAGTAATGCTAATTAAAAGATTACAAAACGGCAAACGTTTAAAACAGGAACATATATATTGACGGGACTTGACACTTCCTAATTATGCAGATTTCATCGTCGGGTGTTAGATATACTGTTCCCAGCTTAAAATTGAAATAAATTGAACTACATATTTTAACAGTTTAAGAAGCAAAATTTTCGATACATACATGTACATGTGATATATACTAGTATGTTGCTTGTTTGATGCACATTCTCCTTTTATCCACTTAACTTTTAGAAAAATAAATCGCATTGAACAAAATAAATATTATTTTTAATTTGTCTCCGTCCTTTCAAAAGTTTCTATCGTGAAAAAAATGTAATTTTGTATTTGAACATTTATGTAAAATTTGTATTAAAAAGGAAACTTATTTTATTTATTTTTCTGTCAATGTAAAGTTTACGGAGAGCTGTCCCATTGGCACTCACACCACATTTTCTTACATTTATATTATACATAAAATTGAGAATGGAAATGGGGAATGTGTCAAAGAGACAACAACCCGACCATAGAGCAGACAACAGGCGAAGGCCTACAATGGGTCTTCAATGCAGCGAGAAACTCCCGCTGTATACATGTATTTGCAGAATTTTTTATTTCTAATTTATCGAATGAATGAGATAATTGGAATCGTTAAAATTTAGAATTATACTTAAAAACAAATGCCTGCGACCCCTTTTGTTTCGATTAGCATGTTTTCTATAGATGTGTGAAGTTCACAAATTTCAACATGTATTTGATCACCTGGTGTCAATTTCAGATAAGATTGTCAAGTTCAAATCCGTTGTTAAAACTTTCCTTTACATATCAGTAATATTATTATCCAAGCAGAGTATTTCCCCTCCCCCCCTTTTTTTATTATACTCGGAACATTATTGTATACACTTTTTCTGTGGGATTTTCTTTATGTTTTAGGCGGCATGCAATGAAATTTGGGAAAATTTGCTGATTAGTTTGAGAATATCATTATATTAATTCATTAGTATGTGCTTTGATTAGCTTATATAAAAAAAAACAAGTAATCTAAGACTATATCATTATTGTTAGTGAGATACCTATCCGTGCATCAACGAACGTGTGAAACTTGTATAAATATTGTTGAAACTGAGAAACATGTATTGATAGAGTGTCCATTGTAAGATGACCTGCGAACTGATCTTTTTTAGAAAATTTTTGTCAGAGCATCCAAACTTTAGAAAATTTTCTAATTTGGAGAAATTGTCTATTGTTCTAGCACCAGTGAATGTGATAGAAGTGCCAAAATCTGCAAATTTATTTTACATAGAAGACGCTGCTTTTCACATCGTTAAACTTTTTGTCTTAACTGTAGAGAATTTTTAAAGAAATTTGAAAATTAAGCTGTACATTTATACTTATTCATTATAGATACGACATTTCTCTTTACAATCCGTTTATGTAGCCGTGTTTTCCATCGTGATTTATAAACAAAATGCATCGTCGCGGGCAAATGTACTATAGAAGCATTAAGTGTTGAAGGCCCATTTTGAGAAAAATGTCTCTCAGAAATCACAGCTGAAAAGTTAGTGAAAATAAAAATCAACATATAATTCTGGGAGGTAAAACAAGAGTAAAAGCAGAGACTGAATTTATTCTTTTAATAAAAAATCAAAATGTTGCAATGAGTTTGTGTTTGTGTATGTGTATTCAAATTCTATGTTGTCTCGTATTCGGGCTTACGTCGAAAGAAAGGTTTAAGATATATCTAAATCGAACAACATCATGTGAAAGTTAAAACAAAATTACTATCAAAATGAACATTTCTTTTGATGACTATGGTGCATCATTTTTCGATTATGTATTTATACGTTTGTTATTAAATGAATTACATCTATCCATATTTTGATTGTCAACTCATTGCATACTTCTCTAAAAATGGTGTTACTGAAATCAAGAATTTTATATCAAATATAATATAACCTCACAATTACAACCCTCTTGCTTTTGAAATTGATAAAGAACAATTTAATTTTTTTTATACAAAAATGTAAGTGCTTTTATAAACTATAACCAGACAACGATTTAATGATAGATATATATAGATATATATATGTTTGGTTATCATAATCACATATTTGTCCTTTTTCGACTTTTTATTTTGTATGTTCGATATTCGGTAAAATCTGATTTTATCTTTTGAAAATAAAGTCAGTTTATACAACTCGTATTCATGAGGAACCTATCATGCTACAATAACATATGGTTAATATTGTTTACTTAGGGTTGTCAAATTATTTACGAGTGACAACATTGTCTTTACAAACTCAGCATGTTGTCTTGATAAGATATCACACACAGAAAAGACTGATCAGACGGATAAGAAATTAAAATCATGCGCGATAACTCGTACTGGCTTATACTGAGTAAAATAGTTGGCCATGTGATATTTTGTGTTGTCTAAAAAAAAGCTTGCGTTAAAATCAAAACTTTAAACACTAAACGAAAATAACCTCATGTTAAGATATTGTCATGCATATGTATAGGAGCCAATACTTTACGAAAAAAAAAGATTTTGATACAAGATGTCACATACAAAGATGTTACACTGAACTGCAGTCAAGTTAAGCGTTTGGAAATTCATTGGCGTAACACAAACAATAAACTTGTAACGTCCCATTTCATTGGCCGAAAGATTTAGATACAACAACAATTGTAGTGTGCACGTGAATGTACTATGTTTACTAAATTTTAGTAAAGTTCTTTATGCAACAACACAATTATCATATACCGGATTTTTTTAGAATATAAGGATAAATATATGTGCATCATTTAAACCAGAGAAATATTGCACAGATATATACAATGACGGGAAACAATTATATATCCTGACAATGTCGTTGTTACATGTAATAAAGATCTCATGATAATAATAATTCATGATGGGTTGCACATTTCCCTTTTGTTTTCATTCTATGAAACTAACACACAGTAGCAAAGCGTTTGGTCATTCAGAAATAACGTATCACAAACGAACCCAATTGTCCCATTCATTCACCAAAAGATAAAACAAACCAACGATAATTGTATTGTGCAAGTGAATGAGCACAATTGACATACTATGGAAGGTATTTTCGTGAAACAGGTGAGGATGCAGAAATTTTTAAAAAAGGGTTTCCAACCCAGGAGAAAAAGGGGGTTCAATCATTTGTCCCCATTGAAAAGCATTGATCGTCAAAAAAGGGGGTCCAACCCCCGGAACACCCCTGGATCCGCAAAAAAAATGAAGTAACGGCATGTTTTTGTAAAGAAGGGTTGAAATGTTACACCAGAGCTTATATACACGTGAATATATGTCTCTGTTATGAATAAAATTAGAATATAAAAAATAAAAACCCAAATTTTCTTTTAATTTACGAGTCACAATGTTATCAAGACGAAGAATTTAAAAAAAAAGTTCATTAGCGGATTCAGACGTAGCATACTAGTAGTACAAATAGCATGCTATTTCATTCTCCTAAAACTAAGTATGAATTTACCGAGAAACATTAAATTGAAGGTAAACAAATGTAGTAATCTTCCTAAAAATAAAGTACAAAATAATACATGTATAATAAACGAATTATAAAGAAATTAATTAACCTGCTCTAAATTTACTTAGAATTTCGGGATTTTTTTTCGAAATCAGGTTAACCTGGGACTATTATACTAAAATATATCATGTCCCAGAGTAAACTGAATCATAAGAAAAAAATCACACTATCTCAAGTCAAATCCATAAAACCTAAAACTTCCCTGTTTTTAAAAGCCATGAAATTATATAAATTTAAGTTGTCATTAGTGATTCCATTTTTATATTTCTATGTAGTATCATATTTATAAAAAAAAAAGGTTTAGTAGGCCTATACGTGTGTCTAGTTTAAGGGTCGAGGAGGAGGCTGTGGTATACTGATGTTAGAATATAAATATTGAACAGTTATTTCACAGACCTATTTACTGTAATTATGTAATTTGGTTATTTGTGTAGTTAATTACGGTCTCATTTACGTTTAACAAACAGCATTGAGTCATTTTCACCATATTTCCTAATTTGGTCTCATTGCAAACACACAATGATGTAACTTAACAAATAGAAAAGGTGCACGGGGTTAGTCCAGAACTACTTGAGAGGATACAAGTGGATTCAATATACACTGTATTTCGCCATGAAAACTGTTAAGAGTCTTGACTCTTTGTTAAAAAAAAAAATTTAAAACAAAAGGACTGTATTCGAACTTTTGCATAAAATTATTATATAAATAAATTCAACATGCACATGTTTGTAATTTATAACCGCCATGAGATAACCAAGTACGTGATCATTCAACTTTCGATCGTCAATAGTACACGTGTTTTTTTTTTTTTTTTCTCAGGTATGCTGATTGGGGCTTGAAAGTTTATTTGAGGTCGAAGGTTTGAATTGATCAATGATAATGATATGTCGCACGGCCTTTCGCTAAGCTTGGCCTTAGTTAATGTAAGGCATCTTCACTATCAATCTGGTAAAGGCTTCGCACATATAACATTTTATGAAAAAAAACCTATGTGTTAAAGAGGGTGGTAAAGGGGGTGCTTGCACAGATGGTCAGATTTTATCATCCTTTCCATGTATCAGTATAACTAACATAGTTTTGAACGGATTGGAGATTTAATTATTTTTTTGAATTCCAACAGCATAACAATTGTTCGAAAACTACCTTCTGTCTCATATTCTTCGTGTATTGTGAATTCAGTTATGTACATATTGTTGATGTCGAGGATACGCAGTATAAGTATACAATACTCGTGAAACTCACTGCTTTAGTTATGTTGTGAATGCATTTGTGAATAATTTAATTATGGATGTAACACGTCTTCTGGTTGGCTGAGCGTTTTTTTGTCTATCAACTCACAGATATAACTTTGTCATATGACCGTTATGTCACCAACGTCCCTTTCATGTTTTATTCCTTAAAAATGGAATTTAGATTTAAATTATCAGGACTGACTGTAATGTTGTTACCGTCTGTTCGAAATAACCTCCAAAATGAGATGCACACTTTCTATACACTACAGTTTTGATTTTTTTTTTCTTCATAGTCAGAAAAAAATATTACAGTCATTCCTTAATTTTGCAAATCATCATACTCTTGTCTAACAGGGTTATTGGTATCAAGAACCTCCGAGTGGCTGATGCATCCGTTATGAGATATATCCCTTCCGGTCATACAAACGCACCAGCCATGATGATTGGGGAGAAAGCTGCAGACATGATCAGATGTGATAGAACTCACAACTACAACATCTTAACCAGTATTGTTTAGTTGAAATCATTTGGTGACTTGGTGAAAGTTGTTGTAGTGGAATAAAACTAAACATTTTACTTTAAGATGTTATTTTTCAACCTTAAATCTGCCAAAGTGGTCCCCTGCTGATAGCGGATAAAAGTCTATATTTTCATATCACAAGTATAGATAATATGTTCAGGAAAATAAGGTAATCACCAACCTATTTGTCAATAGCAGTTTCAATATTTTCCAGAAGAGCGTAAGAAAGTATTGCATGAATAAAGTGCTTTTAATTTTCCTTCCTTATCTCCTTCTTGGTAATATATATGTTATATATGTAGGACTCTAAAGTGCGATGGGGACGCTAAAGTACGATGGTCTGCGCTAAAGTGCGATGCCTCCATACGCTAAAGTCCGATGGTCCGCGAAAGTATAGACGTAAGAAACGTAGTTGGATTATGACGTTAACAGTCGTTTATACAAACCAAAAATGAACATGCCGGAAGATAGATTTGGAATATTTGATTTTAAAACATCTTTTAAACCAAATGTCCATGACTTAATTTTAGACCTAACCGTGCTTTTTCGGCTGAAGCAAATGTGTTGTTTTTTTTTCGGGTGCTGGAAGAAGGAATTGTCTCTTGCAGTCAACCATTTTACTATATAGATACAAAATAGTATACGCAAAGGTATCCTGCTTCCATTGGAAGCGAACGGATACATTTAAATCATTGTTTACGTTGAAGCTTACTTTGCGGTCCCCGTTAAAATATTTTCGATATTATTGAAAAGTAACGTCGGTAAAATAAAGGTACATGTTTTCAAAAATAAATTTTCGGCTAAAACATTAGTCTGTACATTGTAGGAAAATATAATATGTATTTGTACTCGCTACGAAAAAAGAGAAAAAGTTCGGCGAACAGCGGCCTTTCTCTCGCATTGATAACAAAGCTTGTACTAATAAATGTTACTTATTCCGACAATGAACGAATTTTGTATTTGTAATTTACAATGACGACTGTAAGGGGAGGTGTTTACATTACTGATAGACTTTGGTGGACGGCAAGCTACGCCAATTATCCAAATATTAAATACGCCCCAATTGTTACATTTACAGGAAATATTTTATTTTGTGACACCTATATTACCGTTTTAGCAATTATTACGTGGTCAGTCCTCTAGATTTAGAATCAACCACTTGAGCCTACCGGTAGATTATGAAGTCTATCACATATGTTATACCTTAGCCTACCCGTCAATTATAAAGTCTATCACATATGTTATACCTTAGCCTACCGGTAGATTATGAAGTCTATCACATATGTTATACCTTAGCCTACCGGTAAATTATAAAGTCTATCACATATGTTATACCTTAGCCTACCGGTAAATTATAAAGTCTATCACATATGTTATACCTTAGCCTACCGGTAAATTATAAAGTCTATCACATATGTTATACCTTAGCCTACCGGTAAATTATAAAGTCTATCACTTATGTTATACCTTAGCCTACCGGTAAATTATAAAGTCTATCACATATGTTATACATCAGCCTACCGGTAAATTATAAAGTCTATCACTTATGTTATACCTTAGCCTACCGGTAAATTATAAAGTCTATCGCATATGTTATACCTTAGCCTACCGGTGAATTATAAAGTCTATCACATATGTTATACATCAGCCTACTAGCTTCTGCAAAAGACTATTTTTTAACTTCCATGAACTTTAACGTTTTAATTAAGCCCCCGAACCTTACCCTATTGGTCCATCGCACTTTAGCGTTATATACCATCGTACTTTAGCAAACACACAACCATCGCACTTTAGCGTGAGACACCATCGTACTTTAGCGTAGACCATCGCACTTTAGCGTGACCATCGCACTTTAGAGTACCATCGCACTTTAGAGGCCTACATATCTATTCTTAAGTCAGCCACTTTCACATTTGTCCGCATCGCACAGTTGTCATGTCGCTTTCAATACACCCAATTTATACTGGCCATGTATAGAGCTGACGCTAATTCAGAATTGTAGCAAAAAAAACCATTAATATCAAACATATTCAGCACTAAAGCATTTAAAGCTTGCTTATGAAGCCTAAACTATATGTTTTTATCTCCCAAATTTAGAAATCATCACAGTTTTGTTTTTCAGTCGTCATACATCAATTTGCTAGGTAGTTGTTGATAATGACGCTGGCTTAATCAGAATTGCAGCAAAACATCCGATTAATATCAAACATATTCAACATCAACATGATCAAAGCAATAAAAGCTTGCATATGAAGACCAACATATATGTTGTTTAATACCCACTTTAGACATCATCACAATTTTGTTTTTCAGTCGTCATACGTCAATTTGCAAGGTAGTTGTTCATGCAAGAAATCTGACATGAAAACACTGCCGTTTTAGGGATGAATGTAATTAATTTAGTGTAACACCAAACAGTTTGAGGAACGTTGTTGATTAATTGTACTTGAAAAATACAATAATTAATGACTAATATAGTTCCTAACACATAACCATTCAAGAAATTCGGTGCTCGGTTTTTTGTGAACTTGGGAAAAAAAGTCGTCAAATATGGGACTAATTGTCTTTGAAGCCTCGATCGACAACAAAATAACTGCGTGATTTGACAAATGTTTCTGATGTTGAGCGAATGTCCAGAAACGGTTGGTTCATTTCACTAATACATGCACTGGTTGTTGGATATGATATAATCGTCGCCCCAATCCATTAATGTCTTAATTATTTATCTCCTTATTTCAAACGTCTAACCAGTTATGTTTTAGAGGCTACATACTTGTACTGTCATTCAAGTATATCGCAATCAGCTGACAGCTTGCAACGGGAGTTATAGTAAATCAGTTTCAAGAGAATAAAGATTTAATAGGACAAACAGTAAAGCCAGACCAGAACAAGTAACCAGAGCTATGCATGAGGGATATATATTTAGGGTATTGGTGATTGTTGAGACCTGGTATGATTTCCAATGACACAATTATACACCAAAGTTCAAATGAAGTTTATGTAAGCAATTATAGGCAAACGTAAGGCCTTCCACAATGAGGTTGAATATGTTTGCTGGCGTCAAACCCTCCCCTTACATGTCATATGTCAGATGTTTGATAATGAATTTAATAATAGAATAACGGAATTCCAAAGTAAATTTAAAAGGAAGTTCGTAAAAACTGACAAAACAAATCATGTTGTTTATCAACTAATGGGGAGATTGACAAAAAACTCATATTCCTGACTTGATACAGGCTAAGCCTGATTTATAGCTAGCTTAGCCTTCCACTTGTATGTGGGTTGTACATAGTTCTGTGATATTGATAAAATTGCGTGATCAATCCAAGTAGACATAATTGCATCATAGATATACATCTTTACTTAATTTTGAAAAATCCAAACAAACATAAAATCACATTTAATAAAGACGGCAACAAATAAGTGTTTGTACTTCATAGTAAATAATAAAGTACAGTATAGTAAAACATAATGACATACATGTATACACAACCTCTCGATAACGTACAAATTAAGTAAAATATGAATACGAGAATACACAAAATGAAACTAACTCTATAAAAATGGCATACGTCAGACGTGCCCTACTGGCTTTACCTCTATTAGGAACACTCAAAGCCAATAATTTAATAGCCGTATTTTAAGTACCGACCCACGTCTAAAAGCGACTAACATCCCCCGTCCATGCAAGTTAGTTGCTTACAGTATTGAGGCAATGATGTTTTGAGATTTTTGTTTTTCAGCTATTCATTTTATAAAATCATTGCCTGTGTGTTAGATTGGCACGTGGTTAGTAATCAGTCAATCTGAAAGAATTATACTGATCAAGGAACAAAATCTGAGGTTCGTACATGTATACTGTAAATTCAGAAATGAAAGGTCAAGGTCAGTATGATGTTTCTTGTACAAAGTTTTGTCAATTTAAGTGCTACACAGTTCAAAGTTTAAGCAACATACATGAATCAGTCAAGGTTTAATTATTATAGGGGGTCAAAGGTCAGAGTGACCTGACTTAGTATTTCACACACCCTAAGCATATGATGCAACTGCATACTTAGATTGGTTAACCTGTTTTAAAATAAAAACATTGTAAGAGCCGGACACGAATTGGACAAGGTTTTATTATCAAAGTAGTCAAAGGTTAAAGTGAAGGTCAGACAGAGCTGACTTCGGTATATGACACATTCAGCCCATAATGCAACTGCATTCTACGTTTGGTTAACCTAAGTTCTACGGAACAAAAGTTATGCACAGGACAAGAAGCGGGACGGACGGACAGACGGACAGACGGCCGGACAGACGGACTGACAGACGGACAGACATAGTGATTCCTATTTACCCCCAAACTTTGTTTGTGGGGGGTATGAAAATGCACACTGTCAGCCCATAGAATCTACAACTGAAGACTATCTTGTATTGTTTGTGAAGTTGACACTGAATATTATCTTTATCTCTATAAGGTATTTGCTGGCGATTGTCTATAAATTTTAACCGGTACAAGATCCTTTAAAGCACTTTGTTTCAAAGTTGATACTATGAAGGCAGTTAATCGCAATATAAGCTGAACCACGTTTGCAGTTAAAGATTTTTGATAATATCTCTGTCAACGTTGGAAATACTGGATTAAAAGATCTTCAAAATATGTCATTTGAAACCAGTTCAGCACCGAGCCTTTTAAAAGCTGTTTCATTACATCGCTCCTTTCTGGAGTACATGTGGTTCCCTCAGATCTTGTTTGTTACCTAGATGTGTCCCTTTTTAGTTGATTTATGATATTGATCATTGGTAAACTAATGTTACATATAGAAACTAAAGACTGAGCAACACGAACCCCACCAAAAACTTGTGGTAATCTCAGGTGCTCCAGAAGGGTTAGCAGATTCTCCTTCACATGTGGCACCCACCGTGTTGCTCTTGTAAGTAAAAACTCGGTGATAAGTGTAATTTGGTAGGTCACATTCGGGGAAAAGGGGACGGGATTGTAGTTACGACAATTGGAACATAGCCGTCGTCGTCTG